TGATATAGAATCATTAATTACGTATACAAATCTTAAAAAAAACGTATCATTTCCTTATTTCGATTTCTTATAGGGTAGGATATGTCTAATGATCTACAAATAATTAAAATTTTATAATGATTAGGGATACTTTTTTTTTAAAAATAAATTTTTAAAAAGTTTAATTAAACTTATTTATTAATAAACTATAAACTAAAATTAGTTAATATAAAAATTATGAGTAATTTTTTAAATATATGTTATTGACATTTCTATAATAAAAACTTTTTTAAAAAGTTATCTTATTAATTATAAGATAAGAAAAAGAAGCAGAATATTATCTTCAAGATTTCTTTTCAATAATTTTTAAGAATTTGAGGATTTTTATACTTATATATGAATAATGAAGCTAAGATGAAAACATGTTATCATTGAAACAGTTTACTTTTTTATAATATTATTTATTAATTATTTATGATATTTATTTGTGGATGATTCCAAGTATCTGACTATCGGCATGTCACTGATACTTGGGTTCTGCTTCGTGAATTTAAAAAAGATTTACACATTGGAAAAGATACTATTATTTAGAGCAAAATAAAAAGCTACAGCTATAAAAACTGATGCAAATGATGAGAAAATATAAGAAAGTACAGCGTTTAAAGTAGGGGCAAAAGTGAAGTCAGGGTGGCATGTTTACGTACTTACCATGTTTTTTGTAACCTTTCAAATCTTAAAATATTTTTATTTTAAAAAATACATTAATATGAAAATAGATATTTAAGATAGTAAAGAAATATAAGAAATATAAGAAAATAAAGAAATTAAATATATTAAAGAAATATGTGAAATTAGAGATCGCTAAGAAATTAGTAAAATCTGAGAAATCAGAGAAATAGTAGAAAGTTGAGAATCATAATTAACATGATTACTATTCGTCAATTAGGTTAGGCGCAGTATCGTGCATCATAACAAGACTATCACTAACAACATCTCATAAAAAAATAAACAAAATGAGCGATTGATCATTACATTTTATTTAAAAAAATGATATCAGCGGTCATGTGATGTCCTATGTAATGTACTTGTTGTACTTGTATATGTATTATTATAAATGTTTATTAAAAAAATCATGCATGAAATGTATTCGTTCATTAAAAAGTTAAATATTTTGATCTTTATTTTTATATATGTTATAGTAGTTCATTTACATCAAGTAAAAACACATACATAAAGAATTTGGAATTAGTAGATTTTTTTGGTAGTTATGAAAGAATTAAGTTTTTAAAGTTTGAGGTTTGATATCCATCAAGGAATCAGGTAATTTTGGTAAGCTAGTTATTAGAGTACCAGTGCAATTAAGTATCTTTAAAGAATTGGATAAAGTAGGTATGATAGTTAATGGAGTATTGGAGTAATCAAGTACTGTTAAGAAGTTGGGTAAAGTTGGTAGGAAAGTTATTTGAGTAAAAAAACAATTCAGTTCCATTAAGTAGATGGGTAAAGTTGGCAGAATAGTTATTTGAATAAAGAGTAATAGAGATAAATTAAAGAGGTTGGCAAAAATGGAAGGGTAGTTATTTTTGTGTTATAATACCAGAGCTTTGTTAAGGAATTGGATAAAGATGGTAAGACAGTTAATTGAGTACAAGAAAAATTAAGATAAGTTAAGGAATTAGTTAAAGTTGTAGGATATTCATTCGAGTATCAGAGCAATTAAGTTTCGTTAAGAAGTAAGGTAAAGTTGGTAAGAAAGTTATTTGAGTAAATTGAGTTCTGTTAAGGAGTTGGGTAAGGTTAGTAGGATCATTATTTGAGTAAAAAAGCAAAAAAGTTCAATTATAAAATTAGGCAAAGTTGGTAAACTATTTATTGAAGTATTATAACAAAAGAGTTTTGTTAGTTTTCAATATCTTTGCAATTCGCCTAAGGCATTTAATATATCATCCTTACTAAGATCCATAATTATTAACTATTAATCATATCATCGTAAATAATCTAAGAGGTTTCATTATTCGGTTCTAATTCTTCCACATTCAACTGACCAAAATTGTGAATAATACTAGATAATTCTTCATTTAATGAATTATTAATACTGGAAGAAGGATTAGCGCTATTTAAGTAAAGTCGTTACTCAAATAATTGAAGATTTGATTCATCATTTTTCATATTATTATAATCCATAATTTTTACGTTTATAATTATTGCATTTAATTCATCAATCACTGTATTCATGGTCAGGCGATTTTCTGGCTCATTATCCTAACACCCTAAAATCATAAAAAAAAAATTAATAATCGTAAGCATAAAATTTGCATTATTAATTAAGTATAATTACCGTAATATACTGTATGTTTACATAATCTTTAGATGAATCAGGAACGATTCTTTTTCTAAGCCCTTGTAATATTTCTATAGCTAAACCAATGTCATATTCTTTACCTTTAATGTAAAAAGGAGGACGTCCGCTTGATAGCGTACGCCAACGCTGTAAATATCACTCTTTTCGTTTAGTTTATATTGATGTAATAAATTGTTATTTTTACTTTTTCTAATAAAACTTTTTGGATCAGTATAAGGAATCACACAAAAACTTTTGACTGATTAGTTGCTGCTTCAATACTTGTTGATAAACCAAAGTCTGCTAATTTAATAACGCCTTGATGGATTAATATGTTTCCAGAATGCTATTCATATATATAAAAAAACTTATTTTTAATTACTAAAAATAAATGTTCAAAAAAAACAGAATTAGACATGTTACCAAATCACGATGTACAATTCCTTCATCATACAAACATGATACAGCAAGCATAGCGGATATGCTTATATCACATGTCGATCATTTTGCTGATCATATATAACTGAATTATTACATTATATAAAATCAGCTGATATAGACTTTAAAGCTTCGGGCAACAATGAATATGCTGGGGTGAACTCTACAAATTAATAAATTTGATATTATAGATTATGCAGAATATGATTTTAAAACAGTTAATCTAAGATTAAAC